AAAAAATGAAAAACAATATTGAGCTTAACTCGCAATGTCGCGTATGGTCCGTTCGGGAGTACGGAGTTCGAAGAACAACCCGACCGAACCGGTTGGGTAGTATTCCGTGCGGGCGTCGTCGCGACCGTTCACGTCCCCTGTCCATCGATGGATGGGGGAGGACGGGTGTCGCGGCGGCGTTGCGTGCCGCGGTCTGGTGGTTGACGAGAGAGACACAAGCGCGGTCGGCGGCAGACGTTTCGATAACGGCTGCCGCGCGGGTCCGCGTCATACTCCCCCCCCAAACCGCCAGTCGCGGTATTGCTCCTGCTCGGCAAGCTACCCACCCGTGTTCGGCCTGGGGATTCTTTTGTGCGGTCCGTCTGTTATGAGATCCGGACTTGTGCGGTCGGCTCGGTCGACAGACTGGTCCTGCTGGTGTTTGTTGTTTAGGAGGTTGACCGTGACCGTGGTCGCTTTTCCGAACCCCTGGGGGTCGGTCGTGACCCAGCGGTGCTGTCTAGTCCTCCCTTGGTGAGGTGGGGGGTGAGCACGTGTAGAAGGACGGGAAGTCCTCCTCGATCGGAAGAGACGGCTCGGGGTCTTCCAGCACACGATCGTCGACTTCCATCGACTCCTGAGCGCCGGCCGAGTTGCTCGTAACCTCCGGTTGGTCTGCCCTCGCGGGTGTTTCCGACCCGGCTGTTGCTGGCTCCGTCCTCTCGCCGACGAGGGGCCCCTCCGAGTTGCACTGGCGATCCGAGCCGCGTGCCGGCTTTTGTAGTCGGTACTGCTGGCTGGGGCCGGCTCGCTCGGATTGGGACCTCTTCCGTGCCTCCGCTAGTTTGCGGCGTCTGTATTCCGCCCTGCGTTCCGCGTCCCTCTTGCGCTTCCGGATGACCTTGTTGGACTGTGCAGGGGCTGATGACTCCTTCGGCGTCGGTGGCGGTGCTGGCCAGGGCTCCAGGGGCCCCGGTTTTGTTTTTGGTGGCGCGGGTGGTGGCGACGGTAGCCGGTCCTGGTATGCCACCCTCGACGGCATGCCTGTCCACTCCGTTGTTGGTGGGTGTGGGTCCGCCGCCGGCCGGCATGGATGTAGTGGCAACCCCGGGGCCGGTCTCACCCACCGGATTGCTGTGTCCGTGGTTCGGACTACCGTGGAGGGTACTGTCCGGGGCTGCGGGGCTGGGGTCGACCGCGGTTGCGGGACTGGAGTTGATCGCGGTTGTGAGGCTGGGATCGGCTACGGTTGCGCCCGAGGGCGAGGATTCACCGGTGTTGGTGATAGGAGCCGTCGAATTTCCTCTGCCTTGTCCTCCTTTCCCCTTTTGTAAGCCGCCCACAGCCTTGGGTCTATTTTTAGTGCCGCCACCGTTGCCCTCTCTATTTCTTCCGTCGACAACAGCTGTCTCCCGGCCATGATGTTGGTGCTGAAATGAATCTTGTCTATTACTTGGTTCTGTTACCAGGTTTGCGCGTTTCAGGCATGACACGTGGATTTTCCGTGGTGGTAG